CTTTGCTTCTGTAGCTCCCCCGGCTTAATCCAGCACTAGGATGTGCTGGAAAGGGAGCACCATTGGGTGCTGCCTGTGTTTGTAGCAACCTGCAGGTGGAGGTGAACCGGCTGGAAGGACTGGTGTTAAAATGTTTGGCTGAACAGCAGAGACTACAGCAGGAAAATCTCAAGATTTGGACCCAGCTCCAAAGACTCAACAAAGAGACAGAAGGAGTACAGAAGGTGAGAATATTTGATGAGGTATAGGTAATTTCTGTGCCTGCTTGGAGACGTTTTAGTCACAGCACCAGATGATCTTCCTATGCACCCCAGTTGTAAGGAAGTGATAATATATGTGGCTGGGTTTTTCATCTTTTCTGAGTGGCTTTCAAATTATTGAAGGGAGTACCATTATTGACACTCACTAATCTTTCAAAACACCAGGCATCTCAATAAACAGGTTTCTTTTGAGGCACTTCCCCGTAACTTCCATGTTCTTTCCATAGAACGTCCATAACTTCTAAGTGATGGAACTTGTGCAGTTAACCACTGAAACCAGGCTAGGCAGTTGGATTTAGCTGAGTTCATTGCCGTTATTTGACACTGTTTTTGAGGAGCCTTGTACAAGCATTAGTGAGCATGAGGTGACTGACAGACAAAACTGTGACAGAAGAAAGGTGATGTTGAAACAGCCTAGAAGAATAGATTTAGAGCCATTGTAGCTCTAGAGCGTCTGGCAAAACTGAGACAAGGTTATTAGGAATTAGTATTAGAAGAATGTACTCATACACTGACAACATGATAGCATACTTCTAACACAACACTTTTATCTGACTAGCTGGAGACTCATTCCAAAGGAACTCAGACAGCAAAGGAAGAGATGGAAACAGATCCAAAGCCAGACTTGGATTCAGATTCCTGGTGCCTTTTGGGAACAGATTCCTGTCGGTCCAGCCTGTAGTTTCCTGATCCTGTATACCCCCAGTAAGATGGGATCCCTGCAACTTCACAGCACACTTACTGAATGCAGAGAACGGCTTTCCTGGCTTCGTTTCGGTTGCTGACAAGGAGCAAAGCAGGAGGCTCTGAAGTGCCTCTAGAGTACAGATGGAGGGAAGCATCTCCTTTTAGATAGGACCTAGGAGTGTTTGTCGTTTGTTTTGTTTTATTTTTTGAAGGGAAAAGGCCCTGTGTCCCTGGCTTTGCCTTCAGTGACTGCCGCCACAGCAACAGCAGCTCTGTAACTCATCTGTTGATTCCACCTTTAAAGAAGAGAAACAGCCCTGTCATGCTATTTGCACTGGTAGCCCCTTATACCCATTTGTAATTTTCACCTCTTGTTGGGAACTACCTTGGGAGCTCAACACCAGTCAACTGCACTTCTAGGTGGAGGAGGGGAAAGTGAAAAGCTTAAGAGAGCTTGTTAAGAGCTGGCTGGCTGTAACGCAGTCCTAGTCCTGCCAAAGGCAGCTTAAAAGATGGCAAAGTGTTCTGTGCCATCTCAGAGACAGAGTCTGAGGAAAGGAAGTTTCACAGACTAGTTTTTGGCTTATTTTCATAGAGTTGAAACACTCACATGCAGCTAAATATTGGAGGAAAGAGGGTCTAGATTGATATTTACTCTGGAAGTTGACTGGGATTTCTCCAGTGAGAATTGGAGAAAGAAGGGCAGGCCTCTCCTTATTACAGTCATGCTCTTGGTGCATAATGCTGGAGCTTCTGCACTGTGGATGAGGCAGGGAGAGATTCATAGCCTTGAAAAGGGACCTCCTGAAGTGATGTTACTTCTTTGACTATGGAAAACATTAGAGAAATGATAGTCTCCTCAAGACCAAGTCCCAAGGGAAAAGAGGTCCTCTGATGGCATTGTCCTCAGCAGCTGTGCTTGGCTTCGGAGAGGCTGCTGGTGACTGCCACAGCCCCTTCTCTTAGGAGGAGGCCTTTTTCTGCTTCGACCATCACAGCTTGTTTTCGTTCTGATCTTGGCACCAGCAGCACTAGCCATTGTTGTTCTGTGTCTAGTCAGTATTTTTTTTTCCTTTGCTTCTTGTGAAGCCATGTAGTAACCAATGAATCTGTATCTTTTCCTTATTATGTGGCTGTTAGCCAGCACCAAAATTCCCTGAATATGTAACAGACTGAATAGAATTTAGGAAATGGAAGAGATGACCTTTTTGTCTATGTGCCATTGTAGGGGGGAGCAGACCACCTTTCTCAGAAAGAGTTAATTGTCTTCTTTATTCCTGAACCCCAGATCTGAAACCCCACAGGTTGTATACTATGAGTTGCTGGTTTCCCTTAAAGGTATGAACTTTATATTTCAGTTTACGAAAAATGAAGTGTCTTGATTTCACAAGTGCCTGCTTATAGGTTTCATGTCTACCTCCCTACAAACAGCCAAGTTCTTTTGTTGTTTCGTTTTCCCTAAACAAAAAGATGAGATTTGATTTTTGTTTGGGGTTATGAGATGGATTTGCTACCTTCCTTCCTAGGCATACTTTTCCAGTCTTTTGGAAACTGATATTAAGACTAGAGCTTGGAAACCCCATGGCTGGGGTTGGGGTTTGGAGGGAGGGAGCAGCTGTGTTCAGTGGGAGCAGCTGTCTTTTCTGTATCATGTTCCCGTTATCTTCAGTTAGGGGAAGCCAGCTATAGTAGTTCTAATGTAATCAGTGTACCCTTTGAATAAGGAAGAAGCCAGTCCCAGCTTCAGAATATCAATTCTAGGAACTTGGGGTTTTGCTAAAAACAACAAGAACAACAACTTAGTGTGTTTTGTTTTATCATGATTGCTGAGGGCTGATGGGCCTTGCTCCTGTAACCTTCACGTTCACTGTCTCAGCAGGACTGGGAGGTGGGGTCCGTTAGGTATAAACCATGAGCATTGCTCCTGAGGGGGAAATGAAGGAATTTGTCATGTTGCTAAGACTGTGAGATGTAAGTGAGCATTAAAGGGGAAAGAGGCCTACTCTAAACTCCAACGGCAAGTGATTCACTAGCAGCATGACACTGGTCCTTTTCTGTATTGTGTGGCCTTTGAGAAGCCTTAATTTCCTGCTTATCTGGCTGAGAATTCAGTTCTGTGCCTTTAAAGACAATTTGCACTTACCCAAGATAGGCCTGGGAGAACCTAATGATTTTCACGCCAAGCAGCTATGCAAACAGAAACCAGTTCAGAGCTGGCAGCCGTGCATTGGATGATATGCAGAGGGCACGTAGGCAGAAGTGCCTTTGAATGGTTCTTGTTCTCAATCGCCTTTTTATTTTGTCCTGTTGTATTTTTCTTCTTTCAGGACTAGATTTGTATTCGTTAAGCTTCCCAGTAGTATTGTATTGCTTTCAAGTTATAATATAACCTGATTAAAACCGCTGCTCTGACACTTGAAGAACTAGCTTGTTATTAGCCTCATGTTTGAAGGGTTAAGGGTGGAATGGTTTGGCATTTGTTTAAATAAATATATAAATTCTTAAATGGTGCAGTGCTCAATAAGCCTGTATGTGCATTAGTAATGATAAAAAAAAAAAGCAACTTTTTTTGTTGTGTGTTAGATCTATACTTGCCTTTTCATTCTCTGGGGGGGAAAAAAAGCACATCCTAGCTGCGATATTCTAGTTAGGGAAACATTGTAAGGAATGTACGTAGGCAGAAACCTTTGTTTCTCAACTCTGTGTATTTTAACATCAGAATCATTTATATAGTTGCCATTCATAATATAGTGTTGGAAATAGTCTGCGATTGCAGCAGGAAAGAGGAAGCACCGAACAGGAAATCTTTTCATTTCGTGTTATCTGTTTAGTCTTAGAAGAGGCTTCCGAGTGACAATTCTACCTTATTTAGAACCATTTCCCTGGAAGAATTTGAAGCCATATTTATTCTCCCAGCATAGAACCGAGTACCAGAAAAACTGTGGAGCCAAGTTAAAGAGTTATCATGGGATGTTTTGTTTTGCTTGGCTAACAGTCTTTCCCTCCACCTCAGCTTCTGCCTTCATATTAGGGACTTTCAACACACATCTTGATGGTCCCTCAAATACCCTAACTTGCCATTTCCTCAGTCTGTTCAGAAATGGTCATGCCCTTGATTTTACTCCTACTCACAGATGTACCACTTTCATGTTCATGAACTCCAAAATAACTATCTGAACTCATAATCTTTCATTATTCCATCCTTCTCTGTGTCTTATGATCTCTGACTGTTCTTTTTCCTCTCTGTGACCTCCATTCTCTCCTCACCTCAGTTCTCTCCTAGGCTGTTATCCCTACATGAAAATTCTCCATTCCTTTCCCAACCCCTTGGTGAGCTCTACATTATCTTCTGATCTGTTGCCCCCTTTTTCCTATCACCAGTCACTCATAGTCAATCCCAACCATATATTAGTAAGCTTCCAACCACGGTGGTGTCCTTGATGTCTACCTTCATGACATCTCCTATGTCTCTTCTCCACTCACACAGCCATCACCTTGCTGCTGGCTCTCATCATGTCACTCAAACTGTTGCAATAGCCTTGTTGGTCTCTCTGCCTCAAGCCTTTCCCCACTTCATCTTCTACCTACCTGTCAAACTACTTTTCTTAAATCACATGTCTGGCCATTTCATACACACACTCCTCAGTAAACTCTCCTGGTTCCCTGTTACCTCCAGAATCAAATGTCAAGTTCTCTGGCATTTACAGCCCTTCCTACCCTTCTTGTCTTTTGCTTTACCCCTCTCCCCCAGCCCCCTTTGCACTTGATCTAGCTATACTGGGCTTGCTCTTCTTCAAACATAATATTCCTGTCTTTTGTTTCCAGGCTTTACCTCCTACCTGGAATGTTCTTTTTTCCTCAGCTCAGCCCCTTGGTTTACCTGGCTTCCTTCAAGACTCATCCCAAATACACTTTCTTCAGGAGGCCTTGCCTGGTCCCCCCACACGTCTCCCCTGGTGCTGTGCCTCTGAAATTATTTTCTGTATACTTTGTTTATATCTTGTATGTGTATATGGTTACTTAAATGGTATGTGAGCTCCTCGAGAGCAGAAGGAATGTATTTGCCTTTCTTTGTGTCCTCAGCCCTTTGTGTAATGCTTGGCACATAGTAGGCACTTTTAAAATCTTTGATTGACCAACAGCACAATGGAAAGTGCACCTGACGAGCAAGAATGTAATTTAAACAAACATTTCTTCAAGGACTCATTCCTGAACTTTCCTTGGAAATGGTCTTTGTGGAGTGCTTCCCCACCAGTGTGACAGCGATAGGCAAGAACTAGAGGATCACATCCCATTCTGTCTCAGCTTAAAAAAAAAAACACCTTTTACTGTTGAATTATGACTAACTATAGAAATAAGCATGCTGATCATTAAAGGTCATAGAATTATTGAAAATAAAAAGGGAAATTTTTTTTGTATCTCATCATTACCTGTCTACTTCTTCTGGGGCTGTGTGTAATGAGTCAAGGCAGAGTTGTATAAAGAGTACTTTGTAAGTGCAATGAAGTATCATTAACTCAGCAAGTTAATATACAGTTATAATAATATGAATAATGTGATATTATAGCATTTCATCAAGATCCTTTTTTAAATCTCCCTAAAGATGGGGCTGCCATACGAACTTTACCATGAGCAGATTTTGTCCAATTTAAATTTACATAGGTTTTTCCTTAAGTTTTTTTCCCCTTCATCCTTTATAAAATGAGTCAACAGTAAGGCTTCTTAGACAAAAAGAAGGCATAAAATAAGAATGTTATCTCCATTCCCTGTTCTGTTCTGGAGACAGCACAGTATGCAATGCCTTAGCATGCCTCCTCCCTTCCCTTTCTCCCTCCCAACCCCCCTACTCCCTCATACCCCGGTCTTTGTCTTTAGGCTACATTCTGGGCAGTCTGATTGTTAAATACCTCTCCAGAGACTAGATGTAGCTAATGGCCCTTTGAGTTTTAATCAAGGAAAGGTCATCACCAATGGAACCACAGCAGAACCATCTTTTTTTCTCCTATACCTAACATATGATAGGTGTTTAATAAATGCTTGTCAATTGTTTGATAAGGCAAACTAAGTGGTCATAAACCAGCTTATTTAACTCTGAAAGAATAAGTGCTGCTTTGTTTATAAATAATATTTTTTCTTAATATATTTTTTCACCTGAGCCCCAGTGTGGTTGGTCTGTAGTCAGCCTTGGAAACAAATATCTTGGTTCAGGTTCTACCTCTGACACTAGCTGTGTGACCATGGATAAGTCACTTAACTTCTCAGTGCCCCACGCAGTCTCTAAGTTATAGTTAAATTGCCAGTCTGCTGCAGTGAAAAAATGATCCAGGTTTAGATAAAAAAAAAATTGATCTCTCACCTAAATACCAGAGTCTATTCTTACTAACAGTTCTTTTCATATATGTGTTAAAATGTTAAATATTAACAGTGTACTTTAGTAGACAGCCAACACCTTGGGGTAATGTCTCCTTTTACTGTATAATGAGGCAATCAGGTAGAATCTAGAAAGTGCCTTGATTTTAAAATGCCAACTAAAAGACTGTAAGAAAAAAAATAAAAGAGATCTCAATTTAGTATGTTCCTTAGAAGGCAGATTCTTAATATCATTTTTACTGTTTAAGCTTACATCTCTAGCTGAGCTGATTTGTTAGCCAAGATGCTGTTTCATAGGCTTCAGGAAGAGTGGCAACAGATGTGGATTAAACAGTAGTTACACATTGCTACTGGCAAAATGTTCTGTTATCTTTTCGGTCCCTCTCATTCAGCTGATGTTGGGTCATATTAGCTTTTCTGTAACTTAGAAACACATTGTGATGATTCTTTTAGCACACAAGGCAATAATTCTAACAGTATTTCTACTGCTGCTCTTGCCTAATTTAATTTACTATGTACACTCAATGCATCCTTGAATATTGTAGCTTACTTTAAAAGTTTCCAGAAATTAAATAATTCTTCCATTCTCTAATTTTTTTTCTTTTAGAAATGAGACACACATTTTCTTTTGGGCCCTATGCTTAGTGTGTTTGTCAGCATTACAATTTTTATTGTAATTTGTTGTGTTGTGCCTAGGCACTATTTAATTGAAAATTACAAAGATATGGTCAGTCCTGCCCCATCGGAGCTTACACTCTAAAGCATAAAACACGACACAGATAATAAGCAGAAATGACTAAAAGAGTTGTCCTCAAAGTATTCATGTGACATTTTAAGCTAGTTGATGTTCCAGCTCCCTAAGACTGTAGATTTTGTTACTGTGGTGGAAGAGAAGAGCTATGTGGTCTGATTCAGAGGGTTTTTTATACTTTAAAATATTCAAATTGAAAACATGGGGAAGAAATTATAATAAAGTGTTATCTGAAACTGATTTGAAAGTGATAGCCATAAAACTAAGTTTTCACAGACATCCTGAAATACACAGAACCTATTTCCAGAGATTTACAGAGTATGTTCCACATGGGATCAGAAACAGCATTACATTCATTGCAGGTTCTTGGATTCCTAGTATCAAATTAGTGACTCAGAGAAGAATCTTGTCATATTTTAAAAGCGATATTGGCTATGGTTATTTTCTTCTGGCAGCATACCATTTTAACGGGTCACTTAAGACAACCACATTGTTAGCTAATTGCAAGAGGACTTAACAAGAACAATAAACACGTGAAAAGACACCCAGATGAGTGCTCTTTATCTGTCACAAATCACAAAGTCAGACTTTCACGAAGAGAGGGCTGTAATTTAGTCTCGCTTCCCGTGGTCATAATGTAAGGCACTTCAGCTGCGCCTAAATTTACAGTTCAGTGAGAACCTGAAGCTTTCTTCTCCTTGCTTAGAAATGGAGTTCCTCCCCAATTCTGGCATTGCAGCCATTTTGGGGAGATACAAAGTCTTATTCCTTTCTAGTTTCATCCAGTTCTAATCCTGTGGGCTGCTGAAGAGAAGGTGCTGCTCGCAAGGCCACCCAGAGGTTCTTGGGTGATTCCTTTTCAACAGCAGTGCTTCCGTGGGGGAGGAGGTCGGTTCTTGATGGTCTTACATTTTGGAATGTGCCTGTCAGCCACCTTAGGGGCAAAGTGGCGGCTGCAGTGGGGGCACTGGATGTAGTCAGGGTTTTCTGCAGGTGGCACCGGAGGCAACTCTAAGGGATTTCCACCCCGGGCAATTACCTGCTGCAATTCACGGGCCTGGCGGAGAGTTCGGATGAAAGATTCATGTTTTTGTCGCCAATTACTCTTCTTTGGTGGCTCTGGCTATAAAGTAAAGGGGAAGGTTAGTTCTCCCCAACCTCAACACAAATAGGTACATAGTGATGTGATATAATCCCTGATTAAAAACAACAAGAACAAAAAAACCCCTAAGACCGTGACACAGTGAGGCTCTTGGAGGCCCCATGCCAAAGCATCCCTTGTTAAGAAAGACAAGGAGAATATTGCTAAGATGAATTATAGGAACCTATAGAGAGAACTAAGGTAGAAAAAATGTTTAAGATCTGATTTCTCTGTTTTTTGCTTTGGGAGAATAAGGGGGGGGGGGGACAACAAAGTAGCCTTGACAGACTAGTAGTTATGTGAAGATGAAGGGCTAATGGGAACATCTGTCTGGTAATGACTGGAGTACTCAAATGATGACACACTTCTCTTCCCCATTATATAAAAGTTAGAGTGTAGGTCCTCAGTGGAACTCATTCATCCAAAATGACTTGCTTAAGCCTAGGAAGTACAATGTCACAAAGACCTAAGGTTTATGTTTGTACAGGTGTTTTGGTTTTGTTTGTTTTGAGGGGAGGAATTACTTGCTTTTTGCTTTTTATCACTCTATTAAGAAATTTAGAAATACCAAACTTCTTTAAGGTTCTACCCAAAATACACCAGTTGCAGTGTAACAGAAAATACTATTGTGATAGAGCATTAAAGAATATGATCAGTAACAATACAAATATCAGAACTCAGCTCTATTAATGGAAGAAGTACCTAGAGGGACTGAAACTTGGTGATGTTATTATGGTGGAAGTCAGATCTGGGAGACAGTTTTCTCTTTAAGTATACTGAATAAATGAAATTCAGTTAGGGGTGTACCTTTCTAAACAGGCATCCCATTAATAGGAATTTTAAAAGAGCCCTCCTAGCTAACCTACTTCCCCTGTACATAAACTTCAGAATTCTGGGAGAAAAATTTGTGCTTGGGGGCATGACTGGTAGAGGTAGGAGAAAGAGAGCAAGTTGACACTTTCATAGAATTACAGAATTTTAAAGTTTGATGATATCTTGGAGATCCATCTAGTCTAACTTCTTGATTTGATAAATAAGGAAAAAGGCCAAGTTAGGTTAAAATGACTAGGAATAGGGGTAGGTTGAAAACTAGAACCCTCGTCTTCTGACTCTGATTCCACCATTCTAATTCAGTTCAGTAAATATTCATTAATGTTCTCCCCAAGATGAGAAACTTCATTTACAAATCTCCTTATATGTAATCATCTCAGATGACAAATGGTTATAGAATTCTCAGAAGTATGCCATAGAAACAGTTTGCAACTCATATTTTTTTTTACAATGTAGTTTTTCTGAAGCTGTCAACAAGAAAAAAAATATGCCTTTGATGTACTCAGAATCTATTTGCATATGAAACTACAGAAAAATTGTAAGATGTATTAACAAGTTGTATAGAAAAATCTGTCAAATAAAAAGTTAAAGCTGTTCTCCCGTGACATACAGACTATAGGCAAGAATCCTAATTAAAACTTTCACCTACTGACTTTTAAACCTTCATGTTCTATTATCTTACAGGGTCTACTTTTATTAGGCCTTCTAATTTGCACTATTAAATTCAGTGTCCTGGCAGTTGGGTATCTGCTTTAAATACAAGTTTTAAAAAGATGAATAACTTGGAATTAATAATTGTCAGGGTTGTTTTTTTTTTCAGGGTTGTTTTTTAACTCTCAGGGAGCCTAACACCAAATTTGTGCTACAGAATGGGAAATGACAGTATTTCAGTATTGTTCAAAAAACCATGAGTCTTACAATTCTAGCAGTTCAAAAATGGGGAATGTGTGAGAAATGCACAAAGAAGTTCTACAGAGGTTAGGCTACTTAACTTTTCAGAAATACAAGATGATGGTGTTACACTCAAGTTCTATTTCAAATTCATTTTTGCTGCCTCCCACTTAAAATGCTTTTAAAAGGTGAGGAAACAGTCTGTATCTCTTTGATTATCTTTCCCATTCCCCACCCATCCTCCACCCAAAATAAAAATCCATCAGTTTAGAGGGCCAACATTATTTACCTTGGCTAGAGCTGGGCCTTTCCAGGTCAGGTATTGTTCTAGTTCAGTGCCTTTAGCCCGGGCCTTGGATGAGTCAAACACTTTCCTCTTAGAACCCTGGGTCTTGCTACAGACATTCGTGTGTTTCTCTAGCCTTGGCAAGAGAAACTTTCGTCCACAGTAGGTGCACTCACCAAGCTCTGGTTCTTCAGTTGAAGAGCTGGAACCTGAAGAGACTGATAGCTGAGATGAACTATAACTGGGGGATTTGGGTAAAGAATTGTCAGGATCTTGTTGGTGTGAAAACAGCGTAGGGGAAGATACTGAAATTTGGTCTCGGATTTTATTGTTACTTGCCACTAACCTTTCCTTTTTGAGTCTTTGTACTCCATGACTGAAGAACTGGGAACATCCTGAGGATGGACTAGAATTCTCTTGGGACTGTTCCCAAGTTTCATCACCTCTGCTACAACTGAATTCTGGTGAGAAGATGAGTTTGGAAATGCTGCTGCTGCCACCTGTGCCTCTTCTCCTTGGAAATGTCTTTCTCTGTAGCTCTTTTTTTTCTTCTTCTTCTACCTGTTCCTTTTCTTTTTGGATCCTTCTAAGTTCTTCCTCAGTCTTCTTCAATTTTTCCCTTAGAAGAGTCTCTTTTCTCCGAATCTCTTCCTCTAAGCTCTCACCTGCTGCCTCCAGTTTTTGAATCTGCATTAGCTCAGTTCTGTCTGGATTTGACAAGAATGTTTTGGACTGAACCACGGGTAGGGGAGCAAGTAGCATCTTTGCTGAAGATGAATTCCCCCTGTTCCGTGAACTGAAGTGGCTGAGTGAGACCTCTTTTGATTCAGAGGGTTTCTGGGAGAAGTTTCTGGAATCAATCCCAATGTGAGTGGCACTCAATGATTTTCGGTGAAACACTGGTTTGAGGGGATAGGCACGATCCACGCCAGCTCTCTTCTTTGTGAAGGGCATTGTGTTTTCTTGGTTATCTGTTTTGGTGTGTCTCATAAGGACCCCAACTGAATAAAAATCCCCACTTCCTGAACCCTGCTGATTGTTTCCTGAATCCTGTTGGCTGTTTTCTGCAGAATGAGAAGGAGGATAGCTATGAGCATTAGTAAAGCTGTTCTGCCTGTTATGAGTAAAGATATTCTCCAGCTTCTCTTCTTTGTCTCTTAGAAGCTTTTGTTGGAAGTTGTTTTTCAGGTTCTCCTTGGGAGACTGATGGGTAGAACTTCTTTGGTCGTAATGGGTTTGCCTACTTGAATGGAGTTCAGAAGATTCCATTTTGTTAAAAGGAAGCATGATGTCCACATGTGGACATGGAGCCAACTGGAGGCGGGCCATGCAGTACCAGAACTGAAGCCTGGGAGAGAATCAAAATCAGATTCATGTTAAGTTTGATGCTGAATCTGGGATACTGAAGCAGATTCCAGTTACTTCCCCTACAATCTCCCTTACTTTCTCCCTACCACATTACTAGTGGTGCCATGCTTGATACGGAGAAAGGATACTAATATGATGCCTTTTCCTTTAAAATAGTTGAGTGTCTCTCTCCAAAGCCCATGGTGGAAAGGTGATGTAGCCTTTGCTACCTAGTACATTAGTAAAGTACATTATGTCTCCTAAAGGGAAAGTTGCTGCTCCAGAATCTCATGTCCTACCATTTGGCTAATAACAGTTGCAGAATGAAAAGGAAAAGGGTTTTAAGATTAAGATTTTAATTACTTAAATTTTAAATCTTATTTTAAGATTAGGAAATTAGGGGGTTTGGGAGCAGGTTCACAGGCTGTAATACACTTAATGCACCCAGAGTTTCAGACTTTCCTGTTAAGTAGTGTGGTGGAAAGAAGACTTAGTGTCAGAAAGACCTAATTTTTAATTTTCTGCACTTATTAGTTGCCTGACCTTGGGCAAGTCACTTAACCAAGCCTCATTTTTTTCCCCTCATTTTGAAAATGGAAATAATACCACAACTTAGGGGCTGTTATGAAGACCAAATAACATATGTTGAGCAGTTTGCAAACTTTAAAGGGAAATGGAAATACCTACCATCTAGTACATCCCATTTATTTTACAAATAAGGAAACTGAGTTGTAGAGAGGTGATCTGCCCAAGTGCAAACAAACTGTGGTGTTCGAATTTGAACTCCGGTTTTCCCACTAGAATCGGAGATCGTTCCACTACTCCATGAATGTAGGGGCCTAAAAGATGCGGCAAACGATCCCGGGAGGGAGTGATCGGTCCCTTTCTACCTGGAGTATCTACTCGGGCTTCGATAAGGAAGTGTCATTTGGCCCGGATCCCCGAAGAAGTAGCAGTTCAACTCGTGAAAAATGGAGGCATGTGGTGAGGGCTGGGAAACCAAAAGCTCAGTCTACACTAGGGTTTCCACCAGAGCACCCGCTCACAAAGCGCTTGCCTAGGGCTAAGTAGATAGATACGTCTGGATGGTAGGCAGGTATGATGGCCCCCTTCCGGCCTCCTGGCTAGTTCACTGGAGGGAGGGTCCCCGCCCAGGTGTGTGTGTGTGTGTCGAGCGGAGGTCCCACTAAAGTGGGCATCTTCCGCGCGGCAGCAGCGTCCCTGGGAGCCATGACAACGCCCTCCGCTCGGTCCCGGCGCTCGGGCAGAGGGGGCTCTCCCACAGAGGAGAAGGGCTCTCTACCCTTGCAGGGAGAGAGTGGGGAATGCAAGGGGGAGCTTGGGGAGCGGCGATGGGGATAAAACTCTCCTCCTTTCGGGAAGGCTCTGCCCCTTTCCAGGTACCTGAAGCTCCGCTGTGGCCGCTCCAGCTCCGGGAAACCCTACACAGGACGCCAGCTTCCCGAACCCGACCCCAACAGCAGTCCTGGCGCAATCGCTCTAGACTACTCTGTTATTCCCGTTGCCTGGAAACTGGGAGCCCGGAGGGGGGGCGGGGGGGCGGGGAGGAGGGCCCGCCTCTTGCCCTAGACCTGAGCCCGGGGCCTCTCTGAACCTGGGAGTGGAGCGTGCATGAATCAGCTAGCCCCTGCTAACTGACTGGTCCCAGCCTCCGCAGGGCCTTTCCCAGGTATATTTTGAAGGAAGAGAGTGTACTCCAGAGCATCCCAGAAACAGAGTGAAAATGCACCTAGAAACTGAAGCCGAGGCTTTAATTGTATCAGAGAGGGATAAACCGAGGTCCGCCCCAAAATCCTTGTGGAGAAGAGTTCCTGTGTGTGTCTACCTGCTAGCAGGGCTAGGCATGCTGGTGTCTTCTCTTAGTTCACTCAGCAGTGTTGTTCGTTCAACAGGTATGCCTTTATTATTCTGCTCGTCTTGCAGTGCTTTACCTTGCCAATAAGTAAGCTGTGTTGCTGGTTTCACTGGCTATGATTTTTTAAAAAATATCTTTCTTCTCATATTTTATGACCAGTCACGAACTAGCTAATGCCATTTTTATTGCGATCACTCCCAAACTAGCTTGCCTATCCCTTTAGGGCCTACAAATGACTCAGCTAAATGTAAAGGTCATGAGGATTGAAGTCCCCTGGCAAATCAAAATAATCCTTTAAACCACTTGCACCAGCATTAAGAAAGCCTCAGTAAATTGTCAGCAGAAGGCATTTTCTTCATGCTTCAGTTCACTTTTGCAAACGCTTTGGAAAAGTCAGTCTTTTTTTAGAATACACAAAAATCTATGTACATGTTAAACTTAAAATCTCAAAATGTTATATTGTAATGTCATTCACCAATTTCAAATTGAGCCTGATTATTAGGCTGTCCTGCAAACTAAAAAAGGAATAACTTATTGGTGAAGATAGCAGCTATATAAGGTACATGAGCATATATGACAGTGGAAAGGAAATTGGATCAGTAGATAGTGCTAGACCTGAAATTACAAAGTTGTTTTCAGTTGTGTCTGACTCTTCATGACCCCTTTTGGGGTTTTTTTTGGCAGATACTAAAGTGGTTTGCCATTTTCTTCTCCAGTTCATTTTACAGATGAGGAGATTGAGGCAAACAGAGTTAAGTGACTTTCCAAGGGTCCCACAATTAGTAAGTGTTTGAGGTCAGATATGAACTCAGGTCTTCCTGACTCCAGGCCCAGAACTCCATCCAATATCCCACTTAGCTGCCCAGAGGTACCAGCTGTGTGACTGTGGGCAAACCATTTTTAATCTGTTTGCCTCAGTTTCCTTAATTGTAAGATGGGAATAACAGCACCAACTTCACAGGTTTGTTGTAAGGAATTGATAATATTTATGAAATGCCTGAGACTATATAAATATTCATTCCCTTTCGTCCTTCCCTGGTGAGCAAGGAGATTATATTTTTGTAGGTTATTTAAAGCTAGAAGGAACCTTAAAATTATCTAGCCTTGAGCTGTCAAACAGTCCTAAAGGCCCCATGTGTCCATAACACTATAGGTGCAGCTTGCACCAGATTAAAATGTAATTGTGTCCATAACGCTATAGGTGCAGCTTGCACCAGATTAAAATGTAATTGGGGGTGCAGCTAGGTGGCACAGTGGATGGAGCACCAGCCCTGGATTCAGGAGGACCTGAGTTCAAATTTGGCCTCAGACACATAACACTGGCTGAGCGACCCTGGGCAAGTCACTTAACCCCACTGCCTAACCAAAAAACAAAACAAAACAAAACAAAACAAAAAAATGTAATTGGGAAATATTTAACAAAATAAATAAAAATGCAATAAAACAGGGATAATATTACATTTTAAAACTAAGTCAATATGCAGCTTACAAGGATTTTTATATTTTATGGCCCCCATTTCTATTTGAGTTTGATACTACTGATCTAACTCAATCCCTGTATTTTACAGATAAGGAATCTGAATCCCAGAGAAGTTAAGTGATTTGTACAGGTCATGTATAGATGGTATAAAATAGCAGAGGCAGAATTCTAATCCACGTACTCCCATTCCAAATCCAGTGTTCTTTTCAGGGCAACACACTGCTGTCCCTGACCTTGCCACTTAATAGCTTTGGGCCTTGAGCAAATCACTTAACCTTAGTGTCAGTTGCCTTATTTATCAAATGGGGATAACCTCCCCCTCAGCTTATGATGAAAGTGCTTCAGAATATTAGTCAATGGATATAAAGCTCAGCATTCAAAGCTATAAACTCTCTTTAAGTGGCAACTTAAAGAATGTTTTTGACTAATTCTTAAAGGACCATTGATCCTACCAGGACTAATACTGATACAGTATATTTTTCACTTAGTTTCATTCTGTAAGCAAAGTCATGGTGCTTAAGTATAACTATCTCTCCTGCCCTACATTCTCCCTGTTTTCCTTTCCCCAGATAAGGCCTTAACATTTGATATATGGGCTATATAATCTAAGATGATTGGCTCAAACGTAATTTTGGAATCAAAGGTTGCTTGTTCTCGTCTTTTTGGCTGGCCAAATTTAGTTAAGAGCATAATAAGGAAAGCTAAAAGTAATTAGTAGTTGGCACCCTAGTTGGCAGCTTCCACGGGGCATTGAAGCTAGAAGCATACCCTACCCTTCCAATCCAACCACAAGTTCAGGATAGGATCATATGTATATCGGGCACTGGAAAGAATGGCAGAGGCTACCGAATCCAGCCTCCTCTTTTTACAGATAAGGAAACTGAGGCATAGAGAACTGGTAAGGAAGTATCAGCCAGGGGGTTCTGAATTCAAGCCCAAGATTCTAGTCACTAAGCCGAATTACATCCCTAAGGGGGGCTCCAGCTGGTTCATCAGCGGCTACCCTGTCTAAGGAATCATGAAAGGGAACTGGATCGTGCAGGTGTTCTTAACTGTTTTTGTGGCACGGGCCCCTTTGGCAAAAAACTCATGGACCCCCTTCCCAGAATGTTTTTAAATGCATAAAATTAAATGCATAAGATTGTAAAAAAAAAAACCCACCATAGTGAAATATAGATGTGATTATTTTTCCCCACTGAAGTTCAAGGACCCCCCCGAAATCTATAGAAGGCGGGGCGCAGGTCGTGGACCCCAGGTTAAGAACCACGAGTCGGGGAGGCCAGGGGCCTTGGTGGACTCCCAGGCTCCCCTGACACGGCAGTGCTCACTCGGGCTCTTTCGCATCCCTCTCGGGTGGGCGGGCTCCTCGCCGAAACGGCTGACCCTGATTGGCTGAGCTGGGCCACAGGCCTCTCTAGCCGGGAGTGGAGAGGAGGAGGACTAGAACTCGATGCTTTTTAGGTTCCGGCGATCGTGACCGGAACCGACGGTAGGGTGAAGTGCTCCGCGGCCCGCCCTGCGACCTCCTGCCGGGGAAAGCCGAGCAGGGTGAGCCCGGGAGGTCTCCCCACCCCCACCCCGGGGGGCGATCAGCATGCAGTGTTAGTAGAAAGGGGAGGAGGCTGAGGAGACGACGAGAGGCGAGTGAGCGGCGGTGGGGGTGGGGTGGGAGGAACGGGGGGGCGGGCCCCCCACCGAGATGCCCCACCCCCGCCCGGGCCTGCTCTCCTCTGTGGGTCCTCCGGGAGCTTGGGGGGGCCTCCTTCCTGCTAGGGGGTGGAGGTAGCACGGATGGCTGCTTGCATTTCGTGGAGTTTGTAGATGCTTAGTAAGTGGTTGATACCGACGTGGTACCCCCTGCCACCAGCAGCACGGCTCGATGATGAGAGAGCACGCTTGTGAGACCGAATTTCTGCCAACTGAAGACATGCACAGCCTATGGGGGAGGATGCTGAGAGGGGTTACAATTTATGTGCATATCGTCATATACGTGTGTGCATGTATACACGCAAATGCTCGTGCATCTGTGTGCGTGTACATCTGTGTGTTGTGTACATGTGTGCATGCATGTACTGTGCTGTGTGTAAACACGGGGCAGCTAGGTGACACGGTGGATGGAGCGCTGGGCCTGGAGTCAGAAAGACTCATCTTCTGAGTTCAAATTCAGCCTCAGACACTTACTAGCTGTGTGATCCTGGGCAAGTCACTTACCCCTGTTTGCCTCAGTTTCCTCATCTGACAAACCACTCCAGTATCTTTGCCGAGGAAACTTGTATCCATGGGGTCATGTGGAATCGGACACCACTGAACAATGTACACACACATATGCATTGTGCCTGTGTATATACGTTGTTGTGTAAGTATATATGTGTATGCATTTACTATGAATATATACATAAATATGTATTATACATCTGTATTCTGTGCATGTCTGTATATGGGAACATACCATTCATGTGTGCATATAGACGTGATGTGTACTCATAAACCTACACCTACATGTGTGCACTTATGTACACATACTGTGTAGATGTGCAAGTATACGCATGTATGTTTGTATGTACACATATGCATACAGATTGTTTCTATACCTATGCGT